CATTTCATCCATGATGGCTACTTTGATTTTCCCCATCTGAACTTCGGATAGCCTTTCCTCTGGATGCAGTTTATGAGTGATGGGCACTTTGACCTGTGCTACTGCATCGATAAGAAGTCATTTTCGGGTTTTGTTGAGGAATGTTCCCAGGGACCTTTACCTCAACATTGCCCTTCATCGATCTCTTCTTCGAGGACCCTGCATCAGAAGTGTTGCTTTCTGACCTTTCCCTCTTCTGGGGATGGTCGGCCACAACACCCGATACGCAGGCCCTCAGTTTTTCTAGCCTTTCCTTCTCATATCTGCGAGCTTCCTCTGGGGACATGCCATCCCTGATATTAGCCGCGATACGACGCTTGGATGCACCAGAGAAATATTGTTTTTTTCTCCTGATGTACAACCTTTTCAGGTCCTCCTCAGTTTGTTGGATAATAGGTCCTAGAGGATCCTGATTATCCGTCTCCATCGGAGGCGCCGCTTTTTCCTCTACTGGCGTGAGAAGGAGTTCCTCCTCTGCGTCAGTCGAGAGAAGCTCTGGTTCCGCAGACCCTTGAGCACTAACTGTGTCTGTATTAATGTTGTCCTTAGTATTGTTGTTGCTGTTGTAGTTGTCACTGTTGTTATTGTTGTTGTTGTTGGTATTGTTGTTGTTGTTGCTATTGTTGTTGTTGTTGTTGTTGCAGTTGTTGTATTTGTCACAGTTGTTGTTCTTGTTGTTGCTGTTATTGTTGTTATTGTTTATGTTCTCCATTTTTTGTTCCCACGAATAGCGCGGGAAAGTATAGTCACCCATGGCAGAGCCCGACATACCATGGTAAGGCTCGACTAAGCCCTCCCTTAGCCACGCAGTCATCGGCATATGCTGTTCCACCTTGACTTGGGACGCCTGTCGTCAGCTGACGTATAGATATAGGGCTGAAACTCACAAAGCAAGAGGCTCGCCGCGAGACATGACCACGACACGAATGTAACTTTGATCGTTTCAATCACCCCTTTATCCTCCGCCATTACCGGGGCCCACCACTAGGAGGTGACAGTGCGGTTTTGGGCCCCATTTTTATTATTTAAGTTATTATATAACTTAATAATTCTAATTGTACGAGTATGTATGTAAAAAAGGAAGTTTATAAAATTACAATTACAAAAAACTATTTTTAAAGCAAACATTTAAAAAACTACAATAAATTTAACACTCGTTTTGGATATTATGAAATTTTTAATTTTAATAAAAATTCAATTAATTTTTGAAAAATTTTGTCCTAGCTAATTAAAAATTAATATTTAAATGATAAGCTTTCAGTCATTTGAAAAATGCATACAAATACGTTCATGATGTCACTTAATGAGATGAGAAAGTTGAAATTTCTGAAAACCGTCTAATTTTTCAATTTTCTTTATCACAAATTTATTTCAAATAAGCAGTCGCCCGTACAGAGTGAATAATTCAATATTAGATTAGTAATTAATTCAAATAACAAAAACAGTATTTACCACAATAAGTAATTCAGGTACATCGGTTATTAAAAATTGATAAAAAAAAAAATAAAATTACATACATTTTTACTTTTAATTGCAGAAATTTATTCTAATTCACTTACTAAATACAATTCATTCATATTTTTTTTATTTTTTTTTTTTTATTTGTAAACACTATTCAAACTTTTCTATATTAGTATGAACTTTATTATAGTTTTTACATGCTAGATTGTATACTGCATCGAACCCATTAAACCTTACTGTAGAAGAATTAATTCTGATATATGCACATATACGTATATAGAATCTACAATCTACAATACGTATAGCACCACCCCTAGTAACCATGTACCTCATTATTATGTACAATATTAGTGTTCCTGTCGATAATTTTTATGAAAAGTTCCAATGTCATAATGTTGTGTTGCATGTGAAGCCTTGTTATCGAAGTTCTTACCTTATGTATAAGATTTTCATATACTTTACTCAGAAAATGTGACAGATAAAGCCGACCTTGTATTCTGATTTTGAAGTTCATTCTATTTGGAGGCATTTTATAAACCTGCTTTGAGAGCATTTTCGAGTTTCGGACATCCTGTATTTCTTAAATTCATAATAATTCTAAAACAAATTTTTAATTTTTCAAACTTTAAATCATAAAAATGATAAATGAGTACTTATTTTTATATAAATACATAATATATAAGAGAAATAACAAGAAAATTTGAAAAACAAAAATAATAAAAAAAAGTGGAAGACAGCACAGGAGTGAAAAATGCAAAAACTTAATTAATCTCAATGTCACATTATTCTTGATTTTCTTTGAGTATATTTTATTATTATTTGTGTTGTATTGTACTTTATGTGCCTCTTAATTTTCCATTTTCTATCTCTTTTACACAGAACTAATTAAATTACTTATCATATTTTCTATCTTTTTCTCAAAAAGCACAAAAGAAAAAAAAAAATTTTTGAAAAAAAAAATCTACAATTACGAGTACGAGTATAACTCTTAAGTTGGTCTTTTTTTTCTCTCTTTTTCTTCTGTTTATTTTCTTTTCTCTCTCTCGCTTCGTCTCTGTCGGTTTTTCTTTTTCACATTATATAATTATAACATTTGCATACTTTAAACATAATTCAAAAAAACAACAATACCAGGCAACACAATTAAAATATACAGAATTCTCTACCGACCAAGAAGAACCCATAAGAAATTAAAAATAATAAAAAATAAGAAAACAATTTCAAAAATTTAATATTTAAATTTACATGGATCCTAGATTCTATATTATATTATGTAAGTACATACACTGTATGTACCTAAACATTGACTCCATATAATGTCTTAGATCCTTTTCATAATAAAATGAGAAAAAAAAAATTTTTTTTTCTTCTAAATTTTTTTTGTTTTTGCCTTTTTATTACAGCTGTTATTATATTCTTGTTTTTATTATTATTATATTGTTGGCGTTGTTTATTCTCTGTCATAGTATAGAAAATGCATTTAAACTCCTGTATCCATCCAACCACTGAAAAAAAAATAAAATAAAAATTATCAAAATTTTAGCGTAAAGAAAACAAAAAACCGAAAACATAATAGTGCCAAAAGCACAAAGACTTCCTTTTCTCATTAAAGTGAGTGTAAGTTGCATAATAGTCGCATATCCTAAAAAGAAAAAAAATACAAAAAATAAATTTAAAAATTTACTGAAAAAAAAAAATTAATAACATATTTTGTTGATCGGGCAACTTTAGGATATTTTTTTATATAATAATAAAATACTCTAAATAGTTTGTCGAACAAGTTGTGGTAATTCGGAAAATAGTAGAAGAAAAGAAACTATTGATGATTACACTTTTAAGACTATATCCAATGTCTCTGGATGTAACTGCAGGTTAGTTCAGCTCATATTTTGTATTCAATATCAATGACAACAACATTATCGAAGTCAATGAATAATATTTCTTCCAATTAATAATATTTCTTGTAACCTACAACAATAAAAAAAGTTATTCTAAGACAGACTACTTAATTTTTGATCTACAAACGAAATAATAAATTTAATTCTCTTTTTAATTTAAATTTTTACTTTAAAAAAAAATTATTATAAAAGTTAGGCAGCTAAATTTTCTTTTTTTGTTTTTTTTTGTTGTGCAAAATTCCCAACACGATGTCAGCGCTGTACTCAGTAAAAAAACAAAAATATAAGAAAAAAAAAGCGAAGGGAAAAGTTAAAAGTTTATGTCTCTTGCCTCAATGTCTGTGGCAGTTCCGTTTTTTTTCTTCTCACTTTTTCTTAATGTTTTCTTATTCTGTGTGCCTTTTCTTATTTACCTTTTCCTTCATACTCGCCTTTTATTCTTTATAACATCAACTTTTATCCTTTATTTTCTTCATTTATAAAACTGTTGTGTTAATAAACATGTTGTGTGTTTCTGTGTGTACATATGCCGATAAGAAAGTTGAGCAAAAATTTTTTGTTATTTAAGAATATTCTTGTAAGAAAATAATTTTCATCATAATATAAGTGTATATGTACTTATACAAACATTTTTATATAAAAAAAATTCTTGAATAAATAATTTTTTTGGCTAATTGAAATTTTACTCGTAAATATTCTTACAAAATATTATGTATAGATGTATGTAAAATATTAAATACTGCCTATACATACATTCACATAGAATATGCAATTACATATTTTTGTTTTTATATTCAAATTGGCATCATAAATTTATTTTGTCTCAAAATACATATAATCCCTTCATCACACCACACCCCATACGACGCCATCATTTGTGTTAATTATTATAAGCTGAAATATGCAAATCGTTTATAAATTTATAATGAAATTTTTGTTTTTATAAGATTTTGGAGATTTTTTGTTTTAAAAAGTTCAAAATTATATGAATCTTTTGTAAATATTCTTATTTAAACTTGAAATTTTTTAAAAGAAATATTATAAAAAATTTCAAGTATTTTTGGAGTAACCTTAATGTTTCATTAATAATTTGAATGACTTAATTTTTATGTAATTAGAATCATGGAATTACTAATCTTTAAACTCTCATACTAAGACATTACTCCCACAAATTACAATAAATTTAATATGTGGTCAAATTGAAATATGTGCAACTTGAAACATATTCGACACATTCCAAATTCGATATTTTTAAATTATTTATTTTATTATCTTAATTTATATACATACAAATAAAATAAATTGCAGGTATTTCAATAAAATATAAAAGTTATTCTTTCAAACACAATAAATTCACAGTGGAGTGTCACAGTAAAGTAAACGTAAAGAATCAACGTTGTAATAAACATTATATGCACAATAACGTAACATTCCCACAAAAAAACAATAATCTAAGTACTCCCAGCTTTAACATTAAACTGTAAGTCTCCGATTATAATTTAATTTTGAATCAAATGATCTTTCAATATTAATTTGAATTAAACGAAATGATTCAATAATTTTTCCAATTGATTTAAAAATTGAATCAAAAATTTTAATAATTGGCCTTAATAAATCTCTTAGATAAAAAAGTATTAAAAATAAAAATGAATATTGGTTGAATAAATCCATTAAAAATAATTGTTAATATTGGTTTTAAACAATAATCTGCAGTAATTTGAAGAAATCCAACGAGAAATGATCGTATTAAAGTAAATAAAATAAATCGATATGCTTGTAATAGAAATGCTATAAAAAATGTTATACCAATTTGTAAACTGCCAAAAATTTCAGCCCAAAATCTTGTACCATAAGATAAAGTTTGATTTGCTAATAAACCAGATACAGCAATAGAATCATAATCAGTTGCTTGTAGATATTTTGAGCAGCCATGATCAAAATGATATTTATCGATACAATCTTCAAATATAATTGATTTGAATTTTTGATTACAATTTCTTTTTAATTTTATAAATTTTGAAAATTTATTTAATATTGTACCACCACTTAAATTTTCATTTTGATTTATTGTTTCCTTGGGAACTTCATTATTAAGATGATTTGTTTTTTGATTATTTTTATTATCTAACTCATCACAGGATAAAATTTCAGATTTTTCACATCTTTTCTTCTTATATTTGTTTTTTAATCTTGGCGAAATCTGTTGTGGATAGCAATTATTCATTTTACTGGATGATTTTTTATTTATCAATTTCAACTCATTTTCACTATCACTATTATTTTCATCATTTAATTGTATAGTTGTTTGGGTAGAATTAAAACATTTCGATTTTTTAGATTTGTTCACTATCGGCTTTGAGTACAGTTCGAATTCAATTTTTTCAGGAGATTTTCCTCTACTTCGTGATACCTTCATATTATACAATCCTATATAATTTCGTTCAGAATCTTTAGTTGATTGTGGTAATGATTTTTCTGATTCGTTACTTGATACTGTTGTATTTGACGTATCTTGAAATTGTTGAACAGTTTCCATTACTTCAGTTAATAAAGTTTGTTGTGAGTTATTACGTTCGATATCATATATTACACGTGTTTGACTATTAAAATTTTGTGTGATAAATTCTGAATCCACTGGATGATTATTTAAATTTAAAATTTGATTTGTTGTTAATGTTCCGCTATTAATTTTTTCCATATTATATTCGATATTATCTAAAATCTTGTCTTTGTAAAATTTTATTATTATTATTCCTAATTTTTATTAATAATAATTATAAACAAATCAAATAAATAAAATATATTGAAAAACTTTTGTTTTTCCTGATTTTTAATAATATTAAAATAATTTTACTGTGACAAATTAAAAATTATAAATTTTTAAAAACCTTCTCCGACTTTTTTTTAATTAATAATATTTTGATTTATTGGAACTAAAACTCATTAATCTTGTTTTATAATTTACAATAGTTCAATATGAATAGATTATGGACCCTCTAATAAATATAAACCTCTATGGTATACCCTAATGGTACCAGAAAGAATGGTACCAATATAACTAAACAAAGAATAATCCTAGCAGTTTCCGTCCTGGTTTCGAATTATTTCTAGTGGAAAAGGTTTAGTCGTCACATGACAATGACTACCGGCACCTAATGTATTATTGTTTTATAATCAGAAAATGCTTTTATATAAAAATTTTAGAAATTTAAAAAATAGGTGAACAATACATTTAGCTCTTAAATCAATTATATGCCATTTTACCTAACTTGATAAATTTTATTTGATAAAATTTTATTTATTTAACAAAAAGAATTTAACAATTATTTTATATTATCTATGTGTACAAGGAGTTTATGCTATGTCACAAATGCTAATTGAATAATTAAATAGAAAAGAAAAACCTATTTGTATGCATGTAAAAATTACTTTCTATTTATAGGTAATTTTCATTTTTACATATGCATTTTTTGAAAACATCATCTCTTATCTGAAATTATACAAATTAAAATTTTACTTAATGACCTACATACATTTTGGCATAATAATTAATTTTTAAATGTATAATTAGAAAAACTAAAAGTAATAATAAAAAAATTGCAATTTGTACAAAATGACAATCTGATTTGATTTATAATTTATTACATATATATACATATGCATATAGATGTGCATGTTTTTTTAATTTTTTATGAGATGAAAAAAGTATAAATTAAAATTATTACAAGTACATAATTTATCTAGTATCTAAATGAATAGTTTAAAATTTTTATTTAAATTTTGAATTAATTATTTTCTAATTTATTTTTGTGTTTCAGCCATTAAAAGAATATTCAACATTATTTAATATGTTAATTATAATGGATATGATTAAAATAAATTGAAATTAATGATTCAATTATAAATTCAAATCTTTGGAGAGTAAAAGACTAAATATAGTAATTTTGCTGAAACGTCCTAATATTTAATATAATTTGGTTTCATAAATGGAAGAATATTTCCAACCCTTATATTTGTAAGGCGTATTTTATTAATTACAATAAAAATTATGACCTTATAATCCTAGCTTAAATGTTTGTTTCAAACTTTTTAGCTACAAACTGAAACAGTTGATCACATGCAAGTAAAAACGAGTACCTACACACTAATCTAAAAACTTAATCCTTATTATTAAATAATTACAATTCACTTCAATCAGTATTTTTAAATTAAATTTAAATTCAATGAATAAATGACTTATTTTGTTGGTTTGTGTCTTATATAGAAAAATTACATAATAAATAATAAAATATCAATGGTATTTTTTTTTATTAATTTGGTTTGAGCACAAACTACAGCTAATACACAACTCATCAATCTCCTCGTGAGTTTAGAAATTTTTATATAAATGAAAGAGTTGCCATGTTTATAATTTTCTTCACATTAAAAATGAAATTCGTTTCTAAATTACTAACTATTTAAAAAAATTGGAACTACATACATGTATGCATTTTCTTCGTATTAATAGTTGTATTATTGAACAATAATATTGTACATTTATCGATATATAGTTTAATGAATAATAATCTTTAGATTCTATTTAACTGCAGCTTTAAAGTGATAGTACATGCTTGTATGATTAATAATTATATTAAATAAATGAATTAGCTAAATGAACAGTAAATAAAAAAAAAACATACTCATGTTTGAACTATTTACGAGTTTTATTTTAAATAAACTTCATCCTTAGATAATATTCAATATTCCAGTTTTTTTGTTTAAACAATTCATATTAAAAATTATAAAACAAATTAAAATTTTTACATTTTCTTCGATTGTTTAAAGTTAAATTATAATTTACAAATTCATCAATCAGTCTTTTCAACAAATTATTACATTTAAAAATAATATATTTTAGTTTTTTAAACAATTTTAGAGCAGAAATGCCTTTCTGCAGAAATTGTTTATTTATAAATTCAAAAAAGATATACCTAAATAAATTCATCTTCTAATATTATTTTTCTTTTTCTTTCTTCTCCAAAATTGTAAATAATTTCTTAATTCAATATCATGTTTAAAATATAATATGGGTCTAATAACTGGTAATAAAGAACTAATTAATGTAAATATTAGACCCAATAAAGGGATCATCTTTGGATATTTAAAATGCATAAATGGTTTTGATATTAATTCAAATAATAAACTTCCATACATTTTTTGAAAACCTAATATTATAAAAGCTATTGACAATGTAAATGATAATTTTAAAACTATTCTTATATTTTCATCTAAACCGCATGTTTCAATATTAATCATTATTAAATCTGATTCAATATTTTCATAACCATCATCTGTTGTTGATTCTTCTGATATTTTCTTTTTATTTATATTTTTTATAGTATTAAAATTATATAATTTAAATGATATTATAATTAATGTAATAATAAGTAATATTGTTGGTATTATAATTCTGATTGCTATCATTAGTCCTTGCATTAATTGACTACTAAATGTATCAAAATTCATTACACCACATATACGTGGATGAAGTTCGTTCGGTATTACCATTCCAAATACAAAGAATGGTATCGAAACTGATGCTGCTATGAACCTTAAATGAAAAAAAATAAAAAATAATATTAATACATAAGTAATGATTGTTAAAAAAAATTAAACTTAAAGAAGTTAAAATTTTGATAAAGGAAAATTGCCTCACTCTAATGAGATATCTGTTAAATTTGAATTTCATGTAGTTCTTAAATAATAATTACACTATAATTAGGAATAAATTAATTGATTTTAAAGAAACGATAATTTTAAAATGAACTCGTAATATTGATTAAAATCATGTTTAAAATATTAAATGTAATTTAAGCATATTCTTAAATAACAATCCAATTGAAAGTACATTAACTTATGTACATATTATGTTTATTAAATAAAGAACAAGTGTACTTATACATATAGTAAATAATTTACAAGATACGTGAACAAAATTTATGTTTATCTTAAACCTGTAATTAGATATTATGAAAGATAATTTCATCCTCCTAATCTAGTCAAATATGCAGTTAAGTAACATACGTTACCAGTAATTTAATTAAAAGCTAATTTTTAGCATATTTAGTATTTCACTTATTGAAATCATTAAAATTTTAAATAATTTTCAATATAAACTCTACAAAATTTATTCATTTATGTTACTTATTTGCATATATTACTATATTTACATACTTTATTAATTTTTCATTTGAATAATTTTATAAAAAGTTTTTAAATTTCACGACATTAATATTGGCGTCGCTAATATTACAAATTACAATATCAAAATTTACTTAATCGAATTATATTTGTTCTTTGCATTAAAATAATTAGCATAATAAATTAACATATCAGTCTTATTAAATAAATTAACAGCATATCATTGAGCTTATTTATTATTTATAATTATGTGAATGAAAAGTAAAATGAATTCTTTGAATTTCTTAAATTTTTAATGTTTTTACACAATTTTATTATATGTAAATAAATAACTACAGAGTTATTGAATAAAGCTGATATGGTAAAGTAATTACAGCAATAATTATTATGAATTTAAAATAGAATATCAAGACTTTTATTATTAATTTACAAATATTACAGTGCAAATAAAATCAGAAAATATAAGAAATTTCAATCTTAACTCTAATAATCTAATTTAGTTTCCTAATTTATTAATATTACACATATTACTATAAATTTTTAATTATACTAACCATATAAATAGAGCTGGTAAAATAACAGCAACACTAACTTTCTTTTGACTATAATCAATTGTTAATGACCTTACACTTTCTGTTGGTGTTGGTAAAGCAACTAAATAACCATCATTTAATATATTACCACTACTATCAACTCCATCATTATTTTCATTTCTTTCACCTTCAGTTATTGGTGGTTCTGGTAATAATTCTAAATATTGATTCTCTTTAATTTCTTTTTTAATTAATTCTTTAACAGCCAAATTATATGTTGATAATGTATGAAAATTAATTGCAATTATAAAATAAATAGCTGCTGTATTTGTAAATGAATCCATACCCAAATATACTGGGCATAATTCGACTAGAGTTATCCATTTTCTATGATTCATATAGAAAAATTCAAGGCCACAAATTATTAAATTGAATAAATCACAGAATGTTAATTGTAATAGAAGATAACGTGTACCTAAAAAAAATAAAAAGATATAATTTTTAAATAATTAAAGTAATAGTGCAAGTAATGTATTATAAAATATAATATCGTAAATATAAGAATATTTACGATATCGTTGAGCAAAATACTGTGTTTCTAGTACAGTTTAACTTTTATTTTTTTTGAATTCCTCAAGAAAACTTTATAATACAGAGTAAATAGGTTTGAAATCTAGGTGCAATACAAGAAATTTAACAGAATTTCTACAGCAACTTATTCAAATACTATACAAGTATGTACATTAAAAGCAGATACCACAGACACTATAGGCACATAACCATACCAAGATTGCACATTAAATCCTTGACTTCCTCATATTTTTAACTTTCTTAACACTCATGTAAAATACAATTCAGTAAAACTATATTTATTTGTGAGTTCAATTCTTACTTTCATAAGTTTATTGTAAAAAATTTTTTTAAATATTACCGCTATATTAGCAATATTTAATAAATACCATTTAAGGTAACGGTCTACAACAAATGTTTCCCTTTATGATGCACATGTACATACTATACATGCACGCACATATAACAGGGAAGTTAACTTTTACATACTTATGAATTTTTTTATATTTAATGCATGGGCACATTCATTTACCATAAATAAATAAATAAAAAATAAAATATTCCTTTAATTCTTTTTCTTAAAACTTCAATTCATTTGTGACTCTCGATACGTGCTTGTCAATTGAATTGTAATAAAATCATTTTGTATCTTAGTTTAATAATTTCTTTTTTTTTCTACTGTATACAAGTTCTGTACTGTTGCGTATTCACCCAACAATACATCATGAATCCCAACATTGATACCTATACTTTAAAAAAAAAAAAAACTAAGAAAAAATAATAATTTCTTTTCATGAGTTTATGACTTGCTATTTGTGACCTTCCAAACTAAAAACAGAAGAAAAAATAAAATCATATACAAGACATGAAAAAATTACAATATAAAATCAAAAGTCACAAAACAATTAAAATAATCCGGTTATAATGTCTATTGCCTTTTAGTTGCAAGTTTATAGGGTTCGATGTTCCCTATATTCCGTTTTTTTTTTTTTTGTTATACATATAACGTGCACATTATATGAATGCATAAGATCTAAAAATAAATTTCAATCATCTTTAATTTCAAATATAAACAAAGAGATTCGTTTTTTTTACATCATGTTGGTCTCACATTTCTTCTTTAGAATATGAAGTCTTCAGAAAAATTTTATTGTTCCTACACACTCATAAATTTGAAGGCATACTTATATAGCGAGTAAATATAGAAAATGTAAAGAATTTCAAGAACTTTTCAATTTAATTAAAAAATTTCTTTTCACTAATTGTTACAGTAATAAGAATACTATATTATTCTTCTTTAATATTATCTGTGTTATATCATTGGTAGACACAGTACATATATCATAACTTTTTGAGCGGGAGAATATATACTATAAGTAGGAGAAATATTATGCAGCACAAATGTACTGAATACAATTTTATTTTCAAGAATAATTCGAAACAAGAAGTACTTATTATTTTCTTTTTTTCGGAGTTAAATTCGGAGTCGGAGTTGAGAATTCGGAATCGAAATTCTAAAGTTTCTTACTGGATTAGTATCATTTCTTGCTGGATCAGGGTTTGGACTGTTTAAATAATATCTAAAATCGGACAACATGTCGTTGTCCTAAATTTTTTCTACTCCGACTCCGACGCTTTAAAAAATATTTGTTTAGTAAACTTTTTTCCATTATTTAGTATAATTATAATCAATTAAATGAAATTAACATTCCAATTACAGGCGTGATCAGGGAATCAAAATAAAATACAAAGTCATCACGAGACTTTCTTTTCCTGTTTCCATTATAAAAATATTAAAAAAGGTTACTCTACATGCATATGTTGATTAATATGTAATCATTACAATAAATTTTGAAATTTTTTTTTATAAATTTCATATATTCAATAAAAGTTCCCTCCCGTCTCGCACCGACCCTTTCCTTTATCCTCTTCTGTTATGTCTATGACACAATTTGATTTTAATGTATTCATTTTGAAATTGCTTTCTTAAATCGTAAAAGGTCTAAAGTTCATGACATAGCTATCTGTCAATTTCGATGAGAAATTATATAACACATTATAGACAAGTATCAAATATAGAAACTTAAAAAACATCATAGTGATTTCAACAATTAATTACAAAATTTTATACTTAATCTACTCAAACATATCACTAATGTGAATTCCGACAATTTATCACATCATTGTCAAATTGACAAGTCATGTACGTATATACATACATAAGTATGTATTTTTAGATTTGAGTGCATATTACAAAAATATTTTCAAAAATAAAAAAATTTTTTTTTAAATTAAAATTTAGAAATGAAAGAACATTCATTTTATATTCTTGACACTTTCAAGTGCCAAAAACATAATATGATAATGTAATTTTTGTTTAGAAATATTGTATAAGTTATTTATATACAAATGAACGTATTATACAAAAATATTAATGCATAAATGCAGTTGTTTAAATATAAAATATAAAAAAAAACGAAGGCGGAATCATTAAAAATTTCGAAACAGTTAGTATTTTATTTGTCAAAATAAATATTTAAACGGAATTAATTTATGGCATTCAAATAAACTATGTATAACAAAACCAAAATATTCTTATATAATTATTTTCTTATAATTTATTAAAAACAACCCTTCGTTTAGATTGACAAGCGAAGTTTGATTGTCAAATGTCAATTCTAAAGCCGAACTAAAACGAAGTCGATATACGAATTGAAAAAACGATAAAATTTTCAGATATGTACTTATGATTTGAGTTTTTTGATTGCTCCATGTGAAAATTGCTATATAAATATAATCAATATTATTGTAACCCATTAAAATTATTGCAATTAACCTTAAACACATACATACATAGGAAAGTACATACTTATTTAAAACACAAGTTTTTTAACAAACGTATACGTAACACATACATACGAGTATATTATACCGTAAATTGCATCACTTATTCCAGCATTTAATAATTTCATTTCCCCATATTTTCTTACAAATTACAAATCAAATTTTAATATTAAAATTTAATTTATTAATAATTACAAAACTATTTTATAGCGCTAACGCATATTTATTCGACACATAAAAATACTATTTCGTTTACCAGTTAAATTTATGCGTATCTTAACAACCTTGCCAATTTTGCAAAAAATAACAAAATTAAAAATAATATTGCGGACAAAATCAAAAAAAAAAAAGGAACAAACAAGTTTTTATAACATCAAGCCCATATATGCATTAACAAAAGAATTACAAAAGTGTTACCAATTATGGTGAAATCGAATTTAACAATCACAGCACCTGAATTATTTAATATTTTTTTTTTCGTGTGTTTCAATGTGTAGGAAGGTTCGTCAATATTCTCAATATTATTTATTGGTAGAAAGTATTATATAATAAATTTAAAATATTTTATAAATTTGTCAAAAATATTCAAAAAAAGAATATACTTAAGTAGGCAAATTATTTAAAATCAAATAGTTTTCATGATTTTTGGAAATCATAAATTAAAATTATAATTTACAATCTTGGAAAATATGAGCAAACTTAAATAAGTATATTAAATATTTCATGCTCTTGTGAAATTTATAGAATTTTTGGTTTGACAAATAAGTATGAAAATATTTTTAAGTTTTTAATAATCACGTAACTTGAGAACTGCGGCATTTATTAAAGTTAATACACTTGCGATGGCTTAAGTACTGCCCGAACTGTTTAAGTAGTATGTTTAAAAATGTAGAAAGACTCAGTTTGTTTGAAAACTGCTACAAATAAACTGAAATTATTAAGAAATAAAAAAAAATTGCAGCCAGAAGCCAAGATTATTAAGAAACACATTGCAATTTTGCAATTTATTATTATTCAACTGCGAAAATATTTTCTTTTTCTTAAAATCCGTATTTGAATTTTGAACCGAAAAAGTTAAGTTTACATATAAAGCATTTACCCCAAAACATGAAAATTAAATTTAATCCCGCAAAAAAAAATTTTCTAAATTTAGTTTTCTCTTTCTTCAACATAACTTATGTGATTTTCTCATCGCACCAGACAAAAAACAAAAAAAGAAAATAATAACCAAAAAAGAAAAAAATACCAAACCCAAAACTTGTGTACGCGAATATTTTTATAACAACCAATTTCATTCATATCACTTTACACAAATTCCATTCCATCTATTGTTAATCATTGTCCAAAAAAAATGTAAAATTTTTAAATTTATTTTCCCATCACCCATTATTAAAAACATTGAGAAAATATTTTCTCGTAACACAAACTACCAATAAAGCCACTAAGTACATATATAGGAAATTTTTTAGTGAAAAGAAAAATAAGAAAATAAAAAAATTTGTGGTAAGTATTAAGTATCAAAAGAATTTCATAAAATGTGGTAAGATTTCAGAATCTCAATAAAAACTAAAAACGTTTAACTAAAATTGTCAACACTAAAGAGAAATTAAAAGTATTCTTACTAGTTAAGGCAACACTACCTATGAATTTTTTTCTGATTAAAAGTTTTTAACTGTATTATCAAAATAACTGTATTATAGCTTACCACATAATAAAATTTTTTAATGTCATTAAAAAGAATGTCATAAATCAGAACTACTGTCACGACATCATTTCAAAACTTAAATTCAATTAAAATTTTTCAGTAAATTGCACTTGCAACAAAAAAAAAAAATATAAAACGTAAATGGCGTGAATTCTACTTTGATCGTATATAATTATTAAATTATAATCATGTACATACGTTATTAGTATTTAATAAAATTTTCCGGCAAATTCACTTATTTATCTATTATGTCTACTAACTCTACTAACATTACGCCATACAATAAAAAGTGATTCAATATACTTGCATACAAAGATATGTTTGTGAATTTGTAAAATGTCAATTTTTTAAACAAT